TGCAAAGACCAGCTCCAAAATTAAAGCTTAAATTGTCAAGGAGCAGCACTCTTGGTCAAGAAAAAAACCCCTTCAAAACAAACATGACAGAGCATTTTGTGATAAATCTCACAAATTCTGAGCAGAGATATATGCCTATCTAATTACTCCACGAAGTAATTGGAGATCGATTCTTTGTACGAATAAGCCACTTTTGAATAAAAGTAATTGTTGAAATGTATGAAGCATAGTGGATTTTCTTCTTTCACATTTGCCCTTGAATAACGTCACCAAATATATTAAATCAATTATTCTTAAACAGTAAGCTGTGCCCCACCCCCCAGCCCAGGAAGGAGCATTCCGGGATTGCCGTAGAGGCATCTGGAGTTTCAAAAGACATATTCAATATTATAATATAAAATTTATTTAGAAAATGAGGAAAACAATTGTGTTTATTGCTTTCTTAATACTCAGATTACTGTGTCATCTTTATAATGTGCTGTAGTACACATGTTTCCTTCCTTTATCCCTCTCTCTCTTTGCAGCTACGAGTGTAGACAATTTGGAATGTGGAAATAAACACTTTTCTTCTTAAATTTGCAAAATGCTTTGCTTTGTTTTAAGACATGGTGTTTCAGATTTCAAATAAAAGTGTTGGTAGAGGCAGATTTGAAGGGAGACATGGACATTTTTGGTGTTATCAAAAGAGAATTGATTCAAATAAATAAACATCGTGCACAACAGCAGCAGCATCCTTCCCAGACTCTCCTGACCTTGTGCCAAGAGGTGTCCAAATCTTCCTTAACTCCAAGGAAGTTAACTTGATTTCCAGAGCCCAATGCTGCTCCTATGTGGAGCCACCACCAGCCTGGAAAGGTCATGGCAGAGCCAAATAACAAATATGTGAATCTGCTTCCAGGGACCCATCAGTCCAAGAAATGGCCTTGGCTATCTGTTTGCTAGTAAACATGCCATAAATAACCAGAGGGAACTCGAGAGCCCCTCGTGGGGTGTTTGTGAGGGGGAGGAACAGCAACATCCTTCAAGGATACAGACACTAAGAGGCTTTGATATGAACTTGGCTCGTCTACCGCAGTTCTCAGAAACTATCCCTTACACATCTTTGCCCCAACACCTGCTCTCACCTCATGGGACACACACACCCCAGTTGAATCCACTGTCGTCTCCAGTTAAAGAATCTCAGCTTGGAACTTGACCTTTGTCTGAAGGCTGGAAAAGGCCATTTCAACTCTCCTGAGGAAGAGAAGTGGTTGTCTGTGGAAACCCAGAGAGACTAGCTGGGAACCGGAGAGGGAGCATTGGCTCCGACTCCAGAGATTCTGGTTCCCCAATGGCCATGCCCTAAATCCTCTTCTAATGTTTACTGCTGGAGAGCAACCAGGGTGGCATTTGTGGCCTTTCCCTTTGGCCTTAAGCCCAATCTACCATCAGAGTAAAATACCCCAAGAAAGTCTCTGAAGTTCAGTTGAACTGAAATGCAACAATGGGCTCAAGTTAAAGGAAGCCAGATTTCAGCTGAATATCAGGAAAAACTTCCTAACTCTTAGAGCAGTATGACAGTGGAACCAGTTACCTCGGGAACTGGTGAGTGCTCCAACACTGGAGGTATTCAAGAAAAACTTAGATAATCACCTGGTAGATATGCTTTGATTGTATTCCTGCATTGAGCAGGGGGGTTGGACTTGATGGCCTTGTAGGCCCCTTCCAACTTCACTTTTCTATGATTCTATGAAAGAGGTTCCCAACTCTTGATTTACAAGGTACATCTTGCAGCCAAGGCTAGAGTCACACAGCCGAGCTGTACAGCAGGAGGCTGGACTTCGTGACTTTTTGTCTGCTTTGATATGAGCCCTGCTGGCACACAAAATGTCAAAGAGGCTCTCGGGGGGATTTCCTTGTGAACTCTGGAAGAAAACCTTCGTGGAGGATGGGAAGAACCGCTAGCTTGTGCCGCAGCGTAGGAGGCTACTGCTGAGGAACATGGCATAATCAACTGGTGGGGCACCTCTCTCTCTGTCTCTCTCTCTCTCTTTTAGCAAATAGCAAAAGGGAAATCAATTAGGAGCCCCAGCAGACTGGGAAAGAGGGACTGTACCTCTCTTTGGAGAAGTGTCACGCAAGTACAGCTGGCCTTCATTTTTCCTAAGACCACTAGAGGAAATTGTGGCATCCAGATGTTTCTGGATACTGACTCCCATGACCCGTTCATAGGTGATGTTCATCGATGAGTCCAGCTACATAATAGAAGACCATGGGTATTTCATAGCAGCCTTAAGATTTACCAGCTACAGTTCTTCCCTTTTTAATCATCTTGTGTGAAAGTGACATATTGCCATCCAAGGAATCATGCTAAAGATTCACATTCATATACTCTTGCAATCCGGGTTCTTAATCTGAAGCAATTACCTCTTTTTTTTATTCCTATTGCTAACACTGTGTGCACTGAGGATGAGCTGCAGGAGCTGTGTGACAGCCATCACAGGTATGAATACAAATTTAACCTCTCTCCACATCATCTTTGGAGCAACACTCATCATTCAACTTTGATCAGCTGTCAGTAACGGCATGTCAACCCATATGTTTGTCAGACCTGGCCTGAGGTATTTTGCTGCCTGAGGCAAAGGAGAGGACGTTATCCCTCACCTCCATATCCAGAAGCTGACCAGACTAAAAGCGGAATGTCATTTCAACACCATCCATGGAACAGCATCTTCCATTCCACTTGAGGGTGACAGGCTAGCTTAGAAGGTTTGAGGCAGGCCACATGGCACATCCAGCTCTCTCCTCCAACTTCTAATGGCACCTCTCAGACCTCCAGCATCTGCTGCCTAGTATGGTCCTTTCCATCTACCTAATGGTAGGGCCGGCCCTGTGTTTGGCACTTCCTAGGATGACCCATTGCATTCTCTGCTTTTGTTTTCCCCTGTGTTTGGCACTTCCTAGGATGACCCGTTGCATTCTCTGCTTTTGTTTGTGTTTGATCCTTTTTAGTATCTGCATATTTACTAATTTTAGCATTACCTGTGTTTGGCACTTCCTAGGATGACCCGTTGCATTCTCTGCTTTTGTTTGTGTTTGATCCTTTTTAGTATCTGTATATTTACTAATTTTAGCATTCAATATTGTGTTTTAATGATAAAGGAGAAAGGCAAGGTAAAAATACCTTCTTAAGGAGAAAGGCAAAGGAAGAATATTTGAAATAACTAAATGAGGATGCCAAATGACAGGGATAGGGACTCAAGCCGTAGGACTCACTGTCAGGTCAGACTTAAGTTACACCAGTGACTTGACTCGGTCCCCCCCCCACACCAGTGACTGGGACTCAACTTGTGACTTGGAGCCTACCCACTCATCTTTTTTTCTGGGGAGAAAAAGCTTGTTTTTAAGCGGGACTCGAATTTGGTACCAAAGACTTGGACTTGGGAGTTGCCAACATCCCTGCCAAAACACAAAGACGATACACACGTGCCCACTATTCAAGTTACTGAAAACACCCAAATGTAGTCCTGGGCAAACAAGAGGGACCCACATGAAGGCTTCAGTTCACATCACAAACAGAAACCACTAAGGAACCCAAAAGATCTGCCAACTGGACAGATCAGGTCCAAATGAGCACTGATGTAGGCTACAGACCATGTGGGAAGGTGTTTCTACCAGGATTACCACTTCTTGGCCTCATTCACCCATGCTCATTTCTTCATTTGGTAAATCAAAGGGATGACTTGCACAAGCAGGCCTGCTGTGGCCAATGTAAATGTAGCAGATGCAGTGTGCACATCACATCAGACAATTCCCCAGTCCTGCCACAGGTAGAGCTGACCGACCCACGACCCGGCATTCCAGTCCTCCAATGTTCACACTGCATGTGGGAATCAGCTTTTCAGATTCACTTTCATTAAAAGTGCAGAAGAAGAAGAATATGATGATGGTGGTGTGCACTGTGACTTTTGAGCAGGCACCTTTAAAAGAGCAAAGGGCATCTGCTATCAGGGTTGACTGCCCCCTTTTAGGATCAAAGGCATGGGGGGGGCTATATGAGAAAGAGCAGTCCGGTAATTCCAAAAGGAGCAGTGGGGAGAGACAGAGTGGGGAGCTATGAAGGCGAGCATTGAAAGAAAAAGAAAAGAAGGAAAACGGCTAGAATTGTTTCTGGAGGAAGGCAGGGGTCACCCTGACTTTTTTAAATTGAAGCCAACAACCTGTTTGCCAGATGGCACTTTCATTGGCCTCATGACTCCCCCCCCCCACTCACCTTACTGTATTTACTCTCTGACTGAGGCTGATCAGCAAGGTGTTCAATTCCCAGAACAAATGATCTATCTGTCGCCACATCACAAAATCGTGAAAAATGAGATCAGGAGGGCAGCTTAGATTGCAATGGCATGAAGCCTCGGAACCCGCCCGCTTCCATAGCAGACAGAGACCAGCCTTGGATATATAACACATACAGTAATGAAATTGCTGGACACCACGGGGCATATGCAAAGCGTCTTTCTCTCTCTCCGGCTTGCGAAGAAGAATCCCTGGCAATGCCCAGCCTCTTCGCCCAGGGAAGGGGCCTCTCCCTCCCACTCCCACCCGCAGCACCTGTTGTCGTAGAACTGAAAGGAGGCTGGGAAGGGGCATAGGGTGGTAGGGGTGGGGGTGGGAGGAGAACTCTTGCGGCGGGGGGGGCGCGTTCACCGTGGAGCGAGGGCAAGGAATAGCTGATGGGTCTGAAATCTCTGGCAGATCCCTTGGTTAGGTTTAGAAGGTCAGATGAGGACAGGAGTGGCGGTGCGGTGTGTGTGGGGGGGAGATTAGCAACTGCTGCTACTAGAAGGATGTCCTTAAGATGTGGGGCAGGGGTAGCTGGGGATTCCCTGCGGAGATTCAAGTGTTTTGTTTGTGTGTTTTTCAGGGACCGGGGGGGGGGAATGAACCCTTACACACGTGCCAAAGGGATCCGGGCGCGGGAGAGGTCGGGGCCGGGGCTGGGAAGGGAGGCGATCGAGACCCACCTTCATGATGCCGGCGGCGGGGGCGGTCCTGACCAGGCCGGAGGGGTCCCTTTCCGCCGAGTTGTCGCGGCTGCTGCAAGCGGAGCCGCCCGA